GAAAAATTTGTCATTGTGGGTTGAAGGCAGCTGTTAGAATTTCACAAACAGAAGCTAATCCTGGAAGATTGTTCTTTGGATGTCCCAAATATATGGTAAACAAAGTTAATTTATTGTTGTGTTCAATTGTCATTTCTAATAAGTTAAATTAAATTACTTTTTACACGTGATGTAGGTTGGTGAACATTGCAATTATTTTGCATGGGCAGATAACAAAAATAGTATGGAAGATAGTTATAATGTTGCTGATTATGCAACCTCTCAAGTAACATCTCAACTTACAAGTGCAGCAGCTATGAATGAAGAATGGATGAAGAATTTGGCTGCCAAAATAACATATTTAGAGGCTGAAATTAAGAAATTAAAGTTGTTTGTACAAACTATCTGTATTTTGATGTGTATTGTCATGTACTTTGTTGTAAGAATTGGATAAAATTTTATTTTAATATTGATAAAGAATACTTTTGTAATCATTGTTGACTCTCATTTCGTTTATATTTTAGTGAAAAAATTGATGAAAAGAAGAATGAAATAGAGCAATTTTTTAGCCTGTTTTGTCAGGTACTGATAACTGATAACTATGGACAAGTAGCAATAACTTGGATGCTATATGAATTTGCAATTTAGAATGCATTATAAGTGGATCAAATATGTGTGATTTGAAAGGAAAGAGGAGAGCACTGAAGAAAAAAATATTGTTTTTTTCATTGAACTTTTTTATCATTTAATAGATGGCGTATTGACACAGATAGATTTTGAACAGTTTTCGCTAAAGAAAAATGAAACATAGAACTGAAGATTGCACATTCCCATACAAACTACTTGAAGACTTTATCCTTCCATTGCTTACAAAGCCATAGATGTCACACACAAAACCTATGGTGTACACCTGACATCAGTTATTCCAAAGCTGGAATCAAACATTGCAGTAAAATACGAAGTTCATTTTAGTCCTTAATAGAATAAAAATCATGCAATTTAGTCCCTAATTGATGTATTATTCATGCAATTCAATCCCTAAACAAACCTCTGGTGCTATATAAGCTGGAGTTCTAACTGTTGATTTAGGTCATGAATGAAGCAAAGACGATTAAACCACAAATAACAAACATTCATAAATATAAAATAACACTTCGGTAGAAATAAATAATTGAAATGACAACTTGTTCAATCAAAATAACTATTCCAAATAAAACATGTCCAAATGACAGAAGTCTTACATAATACAAACTTGTTACATAAAAAATAATGAAAACAAATAACATAATCAGAACAACTCATTCTACAGTCCTAATTCCAGGTGTTGGCATGAAATGTGCAGCTTTTGCAGAGTCATCTCCTTTTTCATTTGGTGAATGTCATGGTGGACTTTTTTGGCTAAGGTGATGTGGGAACATTTGCAGCAATTAACCTTGTCCTAGTGGTTAATTTAGGCCTAATTCTACCTTACTTTTCTTGTGGTACTGCATCTGTTGGCCCTTCTTTTGTAAGTATAGTAGAAGATTGTTGTGTTGGGACTTCTTCTGCAGGTATGGTGATGGACTGCTGTGTTGAGTTGTTGTTTTGGGCTTGAGAGTCTTCCATTCTTTGCTTTTTCAGTACAGGACAGGTCTGTTTGTTGTGGTTTAGAACTCCACAACATGAACACCTAACTGTGGCAATTTTCTTTTCAATTTATGTTTCTGTGGATTCTCAGTTGTTTGCTTTTCTTGTTCATCTTTTCTTCTTTGTTTCTTAGGTCTGCCTGTAGTCCTCTTAGGAAACATAAGGGGACCACTGCCTACTAGGGACCCCTTCTTACCATCTCTCGATAACAAACAAAAAACATTTTCCAATAACCACATTGACACTGATTAAGGAGAAAGAAAACAAATAGACTTCGTCGTCCCTAAAACAATGAACACTTATGGTTCGTCATTCCCAAAATAATGAGCACTTATGGTTCTTCGTCCCTAAACCCAAAAATTGACTAAATGAATTAAGAAATTTTTTTTTTTTACCGAATTCTCCATTTGTTGGCCCTTCTTCAACAACAACAAACTTCAATCTTTAAATTTTTCACCCCCAAACACAACCACGAATAAGAATTTGGGCGAGAGAGAGCCTGGAATTAGGGTAGGATTCTTTGACAATAATCAGAAAATGTTTGATTCAATTTAGGCAAAAGGGTTTCAATTACAACGACACCGTTTTGCATTTATCTATGCCATGCCAGCTTCTAAAACGACGTCGTTGCTGCCAACTGGGATGCTGATGTAGCACTTAACGTGACAGCTCAGTCTTCTGTGACAGTCTCTTAACGGGGTCTAACGTCAAGGACTAAAATGCATGACAGAGAAGGAAGTTGTGGAGATATTTTAAATGTTTTAGGGACTAAAATGTTGGACTCAAACTCTCTCAGGGACTAAAATGCTAGTTTAGTCGTGTAAAAATAGTATCCAGTACATATAGCAAGTATCGTCTTTTGAAACAATAAGTAAAATTGTTTAGAGACAAGCACAAGCACAAGCACAAGCACAACAGTAAAAAACCTAGGCTACAACGAATCCATAAACATAATGCAAAATCACGTGAGAGAGTAAGTACATGGAGTGCAAAGATGCAAGAATGGAGAAGAAAAGGGCTTAATGATTTTTTTAATGTTTTTTTAATAATTATTTACCAAAATAAAATAAAAAACAAACATATTCCCTGTGTGAGACAAATTTTTGTCATATCAGATTATGTTTCATATTTAAGGGAGACAAAATCATTTTTTTTTAATTTTTAATTTATCTTTTCGTCTATATTATATACGAAACACGTTACATGTGTCACGTTCTGGTTGATTTCGTTCCTATTTTAGACGAAATAGACAAATTAAAAATAAAAAAAATGATTTCGTCTCTCTTAAATACGAAACATAGTTTGACGTGGTAAAAATTTGCCCCAGACAAGGAATATATATATTTTTTATTTTGGTAAATAATTATTAAAAAAACATTAAAAAAATCATTAAGGCGAAGAAAAAAGCATAAAAATTGCACCCAAACAGACCTTGAAAATGTAAAAGAGCGTACCTTTGTGATACAGAGAACAATGGATTTTAGGGTTCGCACAGGGAATGGAGCGTTTGGAAGGAAGACAGAAGGTAAATGCAAAGAAATGAGAAGTGGGTGCTGGTGGTGTGTTCAGAGTGGATTCATTAAAAGGGAAACTGAAAGGATGTGGAAGGTAATTGCGCATGTTCTGAGCGCAAGTTTTTGCCAATTCACATAAGTTCTCTTTTTTTTTAAAAAAAAAAATTATAATAATTTTTTATTTTATTTTTATTTTTTTAAGAAGGAAAAGAATTCAATTCCCTTTTGTAGTATCATCTGACTATAATATCTATCCCAATACACATACAAATTCCTCTATGAGGCTATCTATTTCTTTATACAGATCTGTAGCAAATGATCATGTAAAGGTAACAAAACTAAAAAGGTAGATACTGACTTAGACCTAGCGCAGAAGGTCATAATGATAAACTACCCAAAATATAAATGTAGAGCAATGAAATAGTAGCAAGAAACCAAATAATCAGATACTAGAGGTATCAAAAGAAAGGATAGATATTTATGTTATTTTTTTTGTAATCACCAAGGGTATATCCCTCAACCAATAGCCGAAAATTATTCCCATTCGAGGTGGAGAGATAACTAAATTGAATCCCTGTCACACGCTGAAGAGACTACTGACTAATCAGCTATCTATCAACTGTATTGGCCTTTGTTGGTTATTTGCTTTTGTTATTTTTTTTCCCCTTTTTGATGAGGTTAGTGTTCTAAACAAAGAAAATGTGGCCTAATATTTATCAAAGCAATACAAAATTAGGTAAAATTTTAATTGGAGAATTTGCACCTACATGTTGTAAAAAATGATGAAATATCTCAAATGGGCTTCAAACTTGCAAAAGCAAATCCAAAATCATGCTCAAGATGCCAAAAGCCCAAGGAGAGGTCAATTCAAGAAGTCAACTATCAATGGTCAAAGTCAACGTCAATAGTCAACCTGGTGAGTTAGAAGTACACATTTTAAATCTGTATACTAGGGATGACGTGGCATTGAAGGTGCAGCTATGAAGATGAGCTGCAGCACTTGAAGCACATGCTGCCTCTGATGAACCTGATATTTGGTGTCCTAACATTTTGAAACATTTATAAGGACAATCTATTTATAGGTATACTAAATCCTCATTTCAAAATGGGCTCAAAACAAAAAAGCCCAAAAAAAATCTAAAAAAAAAAATCTATAAAGAGTCAAATAATTCCCAACTTAAGAATTAAAAAATCCACGTCAGAATCCCATTATGAATAAATTTTGTCGCAACATTCTTATTTTAATCACTAGGTTTTTTTTGTTTTTTGTTTTTTTTTTTAACTTCTATCAATCAGTTATATTGAATTAATGAGGTGATTTACTTAAATTTTCTATACAAATTATTTACTATAACTGTTAAAGAAAAATGTCAGCAACATATTTTTTTAACACATTTTTAGTAATTAGTTAAAATTGATTAAAAATTAACAAAAAAAAAAAAAACAAGAATCACACTCGTAATTTAATTTTTATTACTTCTATATTATTGATTCTTACTCTTACTTTTTAGTTTTCATTAATGTTTTTAATTTTCTAATCAAAAAATAACAAAAATGCAGATAACATTAATTTGACATATTTGATGGTAATCAAAGAAGCTAACATGATAGTTCAACAGTCGGCACTTAAGATTCAAATAGATGAACATACAGGTAGAGATTTTTTTTGAAAATACTGTCATCAACACTTTTACCACAGTAATCTTTCATGCTATTAAGAACTGGTAACTTCCTTGGTAGCTTAGTATGTTGCATACTAGCTAAAGTAATTGCAGCTTATAATATACTTTCTTCTACATCTTTAACTTGAACAACAGGAATGTTATATATAGAATGACATTAAGCACAACTCAACACCACTATTAAATGAAACTGACATATTCAGTAACGCAATCTCATTTGCTGAATCAAGTTTCGATATATTGGGGTGTTTATTGGGGTGACCCCAAATCCTTTTAGTAGCACCCTTTTGGGATTACTATCTTCGCTATACTTAGATGTCACCAATGCTGTAGCCTTGATTAAAAGCTTTGGTTGGATTTTGATTCTGCTATTTAGGTAGCTTGAACATCGTTGGTCGTATACGACACACACATGATCTAATGCAATTATCGGAGATGGCATTGAAGTGTATATTTCAACATTGTCCTCTTTCCTTTCACTGTCACCATCACTTACAGTGATGTTAAATTGCAATTTTTGGCCGAAAAATAATTGCTTGTCCTTGCTGAGGATGAAGCAGAAAATGAAGCCCAATAAAGGGGAATGTAGAGTAGAAGAGAGATCAATAATTATATAATCCTTTGTGGTCTTGTAAATCAACCACTCTGGAACACTGCCTCCTGGATACATGTACACTGCTTGATAAGAAACATGAAGATCATTGTAATCACTGTAATTTTCAATGCATTCATATTTTGGTGCTGATAAATGCTGGTATGCAAAATTCATTATGTTGACTTGTGCATTCAAACCAATAGCCATAAGAGAATCTTCATTCAATTTTGGGCAATCCCAAAACTCAACTCCTTTTCTATTTTCGTGAAGTTGTTGAGTACACAATAATGGGAACAACATGAACTCCAGTGATGTGCAATTGATGGCAATTATAGTTTCAAGAGATGCAGGAAGCTCTGGTAAAGCTTGAAGCTTAGCACAACTACGCACACTAAGATATCTCAGTCTTGTTAGATTCTTTATGCTTGAAGGCAAGCTATTAATTTTGGTGTTTTCTAGATGTAGAATTTCAAGCTTGCTTTGATGTCCAAAAGATGAAGGCAATTCACTGACACAAGTGTTTGACAAATTTAGTTCAATCATATTCTCTGATGTCACCGAGAATTCCCTTAGTTTGCGGCAGCCATGAAGGTCAAGATAACAAAGGGAGCTCAAATGGGAATCACTTGAGAGTTTGGTAAGGGAAAGACAACCACTTAGATTCAAACTCTCAAGCTTTTTAAGAGTGAAAATAGAAAGGTGTACACTAGTCAGCTGTTCACAATAACTAATATCCAATACTTTGAGATTTGTAGCTTTTGAAAAGTCTGGTAGCTCTTTTAAGAGTGCACAACCTTTGAGTATAACTTCTTTTAAATTCTCCAGATTCTGTTACAAAATAAAACAAGCGGAGACATCACGTGTGAACTTATGTTGATCATTTTATATTCTTTGAGTGTAGACTAAAATATTTAACTAGAAGACACATATACTTACTTTCACTCCATCCCAAAGCTTTTCCACTTGGCTACATGACAAATCTAATATCACAAGTTTCTCAGGAGAAAATTGCTCTGCAAGGAATTTCAAAGGACAATTTATCCAACGAAGATATCTTAGTTCAGTTGGAACATATTGAAGTCCTTCAGGAAAAGGATCTGTGCTGTAATGACTGTATTCATAATAAAAATCGAAAAATTGAAGTTTGTTCAGATTAACAAACATATGAGAGCTTAACTTCAACTTCTTAATCATAGGCAAGTCTGCCGTTATGCTTCTGATGGCCCTAGTCCCCTGACATCAAAGTAGAAAAAAAAAATTAAACAGACATTAAAAGCCACATTTCCTATACAAAATTCAAAGGTAATTTAAATTTTTTTAGATCTCTTACTGTATCATTTTTTAATACATGGAAAACGTCATCAGGATCCCCTAATCGACTGCGATTTCCAGGTTCTTCACTTGACTCTTGGCGAACTATCTCCCAAGCCATTTCTTGTATAATATCATGCATAGACACATAATTATCTTTAGAAACATTTATAAGAGCTTTATCTTTTAGCCTTTCCAACACAATAGTCACTGAATTATCACTTTCATGATCTTTCAATAAACTTTGTATGTAGTCTACTTTGAAATTCAATCTAATGAAAAAACATGCAAGATCTAAAAAAATCTTTTGCTCTCTGTGATCTAGATCATCATAACTTAGTCTCATTACATCATGAACTTTTTTACTTGGCAGTTTTTTAAGTTTGTCCAACTGACTTTCCCATGCTACCTTATCTTTTCCACAGAGAAGATGACCCAAAACTTTAAGAACTAATGGAATGCCTTTGGCATAATGGACCACCCTCTTTGATAGCTCATAATACTCCATATCAAGATGACTTTTATTAAAGGCATTCAAATTGAAAAGCTCAAGTGCTTCACCATAGCTTAATTCCCCAACCTGGTATATGTCATCAACTTTGTTGGCATTCAGTACTTGCTTATCCCTTGTCGTTACAATTATTCTACTACCTGATCTGAAGCAATCACGGGTTCCAAATAATTTTTCTACTTGATCCGGATCATCAACATCATCAAGAATAATAAGAACCTTCTTACGACCAATCCTTCTTCCAATATCACTGGACAATCCATTTGGTGTGTTAATTTGTACATCTTCTACTAATAATGCAGAAAAAAGTTTTTCTTTTAAAGAAAGTATCCCATGTCTTCTTGATTCTTCTCTCACATTTGCCAAAAAACAGCACCCTTCATATTTAAAACATAGTTTGTTAAATAATTCTTCTGCAATGGTTGTCTTACCGATGCCGCCCATACCCCAAATTCCAATAACACGGACGGCTTTTGACTCTTCACATAATAATGATTCCAAATGTGCAATTGATTTGTCAATTCCAATAAGTCCCTTTGAATTAACTGGGTGCTTACTCAACCTCATCAACACAAGATTGACAATTTCTTCAAGCAACTCAGCATCATTCCTAAGCAAATGAAGAGAAAGAAAATGTATGAAATTACCATGGTGGAGTTCAATACCCATGGCGGAACATTTCCTTACCTTTCCCTTCCCTTTCTCCTTAAATAGTGTTTGGATGGAGGGTAATGGAGGAGAAGGTCTTTTAAAATAACTTGTTTGATTATACTATTTGGACAGTAGGGAAAATATTTAGTTTTTTTTTATTGTACTGACTAAATTATTCTTTCTGGTGTGTTTTGTTTTGGTCAAATCCTTTTGTGATGCTTTTGAGATTCATTTATGTGGCTGTTCAGGCTGGTATTTGAACACTGATATAAACAAATTAAATTGTCCCGCAAAAGTATCTATCTTTGTTAGGATGAGGGTATCTGTTCTATATGCTATTCTAATTCTGAATCGTCCATCTAATTTTTGTTACACTGCTATAAAATCTGGTTGCTGTGGTCCTATGGCTTTAACAAGGTGGGGAATGAAATGAGTAGTACCTAACTCTATTGAAAGTATGCTTGCTGGATGGAATCTCAATAAATGTTCATGTGATTCTCTAATATGGAAAATTGTCCCTTGTGCTTTGTTATGGTATTTGTTAATTGTGTATCAGTGCCTTATATTTAGAGCGAAGAATTCCTTAGCAGATTCTCTAGTCAAACAAGGCTGCTTGAGAAACTCTGTACTTAGGACTTTATGTTAATTTTCTCCTACTTGAGCCGGGTATTCTCCAGCTTTTTTATCCTAAAAATTTCTGTTTTCCCAAAAACTGTTTATGATAATAATTTTACTTAACTTTCTCTTTTCTCTCCCTTGTAAACCAAAAAATTGTGTTTCCCTTCCCTCTTGTCTTTTCTTTTGAACCAAATAATGCATTATGGGGATCACAAATTACAATCACATGCACTAAAAAACCAGAATATTCCTGAATATCTCTAAATGAGTTCTTTAAAAATATATGCCATTTGGAAATTGAAAACATTTAATTATATTACATGGTTCTAATTTAAGCTTATATCTTTATGCTATTCAAGCAATCAACTTATAAAATAACAGGTGAACAGAGAGAAAATACTGAAGATTTAGTAAGAGAAAAATGCTTACCGAAAATCAGATGATTTGATCCCTGATAAATTAGCAGATTTGTTCAAAGCATCTCTCCACATTTGCACCTTGGACAAATTATACTTTTTTTCATGTTCATGTAGTGCATTTCCAAAACTCTTCTTTTGATGTCGTACATCGGTGGGATCGACATGGTAGAAAACAGGTATTACAATCTGTCCTTTTTTCTCTTTGCATTCAACTATTTTTACAAGTTCTTCCAAACACCAATGTGAAGAAGCATAGTCTTCAGAGAATATGATTAATGAAATGAATGATCCTTCAATTGCTCCAAGAAGTGATGGCGATATATCATCTCCTCTTCTAAGTTTATCATCAACAAAGGCAGTTATTTGCTTCCGAGGAAAAGCCTCAATCAAATGGCTAAGAAAACCTTGGCGGATATCCTTGCCCCTGAAGCTAACAAAAACATCATACTCTATTTGAGGATTGTTTGACATTGACTCTTCTGCTACACCCTTTAGATTATAAAAAGTAATAATATTCAGATTTTGCATAAAATCTATAATTTGATTATTATATCAAAATTTAGATATGACAACAGGGAAAAGGGCATGTCCTTTGCACAAATCTTCCTATTATGTCAATAGAGAATAGATTCTCTCATGTTAAATGTTTATATATCGTGTGTGCAAAATTTGTATTTTTATCTTTCCTTCTCCTATAAATGTTAATTAAACGAGACCTTTTAAAAATTAATAGAAAAAAGACAGAGATGCAAAACTTATGTAAAACCTAGCATGCACAAATACTCAACGAGAAAAAGAAATTAAAGACATAACAACTACAGAGTGAACAGGGGACAAAAATATAAGTACAATTATGAATTCTTCTCTGTGTGGTACATTGACAACATATACACGATTTCTCCAAAGTTCTTCCATCCATCCATCCATAAAAACACCATGAAGAAAAACATATTACATAAAAATCACTTGTGGGGAGCTTATAACATAAACAACACTCGATTTAACAGATAAACAATATGAGCAGCTTTATATCAAAGTCAAATTATAACATTGAAAAACAAATATATTACCTTTGCAAAAACTTTACTAACAATTTCTTTCTTCTTAATCCTTATTGCAATATCCAACAAATTCACCGGACGTTTTGAAATTCTCTGAAGCAAAGATAATTGCAAATATAGCATTAAAAAGAATTCAAGAGGAAAAGAAAAGTGCAAAATGAAAAGTAAAAAGACATCACTCACAAAGTTTAAAGGATTGTGACTTTTATACTTACAATAGGAGAATGTTTTGTTAAGCTCACTGTTCAGTTTATGAGAAAGTTTGTTTTTTGTGAGGTTTAGGGTGATAGTGAGACATGAGATAGGAGTCATATCTTTGTCAAACGATCAGAGATATACATTATAAAGATTATTTTAGTTGAAACCTTAGTAGTTCATTTTAATATTTTAATTATATGGTAGATATTCAGTTCTCTGTGCTCTGATCTCTCAAATGATCAGAAGAGATGAGAGTGTGTACCAGGTGAGAGATGAAAGTGTGAGAGAAATGAATCTCCACCGTATGATTAAAATGAACATTAAGGTTTTAACTAAGTGAAAAGATATTATTAGTAAGTCTTAAAATTCTTACACTTGATTTTGATCTGATTCTTTCATTTAATATCCTTGTATAGTTATATGACCAAGATGATTATTATCATCTCTCATGCTCTCACTAGATATGCAGGTGAACCGAATTTCAACCCTATAATTAAAATGAACTGTTCAAAATTTTATTAATAACTAAAATTATTTTGACCATCCATATAAGTCATATAGACACCATCACTCCTGTCACACTCTTAGTAAATATGCCTCCATATAAGAAGCACATCAAATGAGCAGAGAGGGGGGTGATCCTAGTCATATGAACATACATGAATAGTAAAAATTATTTTAGTTATAATTTTCATATTCATTTCAATCATTGGGTTAAAATTTATTTCTAGTGTGAGAGGTGAGAGGGATACAGGAAATACTTATCCACTTTATAGGGTCATGGATTTAGCTATGTTGAAGTGAGAGATTAAAGTGAAAAAGAGAGACTTTATTCATCATTGATTAATTTTTTTAAAAAAAAATTGTATCTACAACTAACTTTAAATAAATGGTAGATAAACTTTCACATTTTCATTTTGCATTTTTTTCTCGCGTTAGAGGAGCTAAATCCAGGGATCATTATTTCTTTCAACGAGGTCATTATTGTAACATGTGGAAAATAAATAAAGAAGTACAAAGTGCACCCTTAAGAGTAATTAACAGTCTTGAAAATAAACAAAAGCCAGGTAGTATCGATTCGAGTACTTTACTCCAAAAATTAATTATTTATACTCTACATATATTTTACTATAAAATATGTGATTAAACAAACAAGTATAAGGTAAGTTGACATGGAAACATATAAAGGTTCTAGTTTTTGCAATTCTTTATTCTCTCTCTCTTTCTTTCTTTCTTTCTCTCCCTATATATAAGATTAAATTTAAAAGAAATAAAAAAAATCAAGAATTAAAATCAATTTTATTTAACAGTTTCACTGTTTGAATATTGAATAATTAATATTGTATGTAACATTGCATATAATTATTTGGTTAATCTCAGTCTTTAGAGTTAAGTATAGACATCTGGTGATAGTAAAATTTTATTGAAAAATAAAGTATTTGTTACAGTACTTATGTATCTTTAATGCACTAAATGCTTTGTTTTCCAACAAAATCATTATGAAAAGGAGCAACCAAAATTTCACTTATCTTTTATCTATATATATATATATATATACACTTATTTCTAAATAAAGTATTCTCTTGAAATAAAGAGGTAACAGATAAATGTTATTGTTTTTTAAAATGAATCTTTTGATTTTGAAAAAGTTATTGAACTTATTAAAATTAAATCTGGGCTATGAATTAAGTCAAGTTTCTCTGTCTTTTCTGCCGATTGGTTTACTAACCCTATGAGTTATCTAGCTTATTATAACTTATTTTCTTTTACCTATTTGTATACGGGTTGAGTTACTCCTTCTAATCTCTTTATGTTATCTATTTTGGGTGTTTTAAACAAAATCATTATAAAAAGTTGAAATACCAACTCTCCAGTTCAATTTATTGGTTCATACTTAAACGCATTAACCAACTTTAAAGTAGAAACAAAAATATATCTTAACAGGATCGGAGTATACATATATATGATTAGCAACATTTTATTAAGTGAAGCTTAAACTGTAGTAATAAGTATCCAAACTCAATTTCTAAACCAATAAACGAACGGTTATTCTAATGTCTGCCAATGAACGCATGGTAAGAAATTATAAATAGAAGATTTATACTGAAAATTTGAATATTTATTAAACTTTGGTGCATTTTGAGTGTAGAAATTTTTACAATCAGCTAGAATACATCATAAATACGACTTTTATATTAATTATTACAAAATCAATAACTTTTGCTGATATGAAAATTCAGGATTAGATGACAGTGTAAAAGTAAATTAATTTATATTTATTATATTAAAATCATTAAAAATAAATCAGTGCATACTTTTTATTGAAATTTAAAACATTTAAGATGCTATTTTTAATATTTCTTAACATATACCTTAGCACCCATCACAAAAAATTGATAAACAAACAACTAGAATAGAACAGATTTCACATACATTATTTATACTGGAGTTTCTCCATAAGGACCCCATTTTCAGGTTAGATGCTGTAGTAATAATTCCTTCAGGCAATGCCTCATATCCAGAAGGCCAACGTTGTCTCTAGGGAAATTGATAAAGAAACATATTTAGTGGTGGTTCTAAATACTTACATCTTATAAATCATAGTAAAAGAAAGACATGAATTCCTCTAAGGGATTTTTTCATAGTACTTGTTAAAGATTTAATAACTAGAAAATTATTAAAAATAAGAGTAAAAATTTATTATAAATTATAGTAAAAATATATACATTACAGTTTTTCGATGTTTGCAAATTAAATTTTATTCAAGAATTTTAAAGATTCGTAATATACTTTGAAACATAAAAATTATTGTGATCTATTTTAAGGAAATTGCTAATATGCCTTATTTTGTAAGAATATTTGCTTAAATTTATGAAATGAAAACATACAGCCAAATTGACTATAGAAACATATGAAATAAGTTTTAACACAATCAATTAGGACATGAGCATGAGATAAAGAAATACAACATATTTTATTTGTGATGCTCCGGCATAAGAATGTGCCATGGATTAGAACTTGGGCACTCGGGAGTCGGGATCTTCTTTTGTCTCTACAACCTTGAATTTCACAAGGGATCCACAAGGTAACTGGAAGAGAAAAGAAACAAAAAGAAAATCATAGAAGTTAAAAAACAGATCTTCAGTTTGTGATTGGGAGTTTTTATTTTTGAAGTACTTTTAACTTAATTTTTAAAATAAAAAAATAATTGAAAATTCAAATCATTGACTTGTTCTGTATATAGGAAAAGCCTCTTCAGTTTGGGTTTAAAATTAAATTGACATCAAGATTTGAAATTTAAAATCCATCAAAAATTAAAAATTAGTTTATAAACCTGAAAACGTATTTAGCATTTTATAACTTCCAAAATTTAAATGATAAATAAAGTTATATAATCATATAAGCTAAGCAAGCAATTTTCTTACTTGATGTTTGCTATTCAACTCTCCTGCACTTTATCTTTGTCTGGAAAAGAATGAACGATCGATATCCGAGTAAAGCAGCCTCCAATTTTGATGCTTTCGGCTGGCTAGTGATCACAATCAGCTATTGCTCGTACAAATTGGATGAATACGGAAGAAGCAATTTCGTTTGACCTTATTATGTAAAGTACTGAAAACTATGAAGGAACATTGTATATTTCACCGCCAAACAATATTTGGGTTGGATTCATGTGTATATGAACCATGTGACTTGTACTTTTCTGGATTAGACAGATTTGCACGAAAGAAAATTTCGGTTAGATGCTGAGAAAAGTAATTCATAAAGAATTACAATTATTAATTATTGTTACTAGTACCTTAAGAAAAACTCATGTAACATAATTAAAATAAACGTTAGTTGGACTCAATGATATTGAAAGGATAACTAATAATGATCTTCCTTGGAAAGTCTGAATTTGAATGCATATGATAAATCTAAGGAACATCAAATTGCAAGACTTTTTTATTTCAGTTCTGTCTTGTTTAAAATAAACATTTCCAAATCTTCCACGATTCTGTCATTTTCCTTACAATAATACCATCATCCAAGAGTCGTCTTAATGGAGGAGAGTACATACTATGCATTTACATAACTATTTAGCTGTGACAATAAAATAAAAGACAAAACTCCACGTTCAGCTATATATTAATAGGACAATAAACAAAAATGAAAGACATATACACATCTCTTGATACATACACATAACACCCAAAAACCTGGCTATGTAGATGCACACAGGCCATTCAATAGAATTATTTTCTGCAATATTAAATGTCCTTTACTGCACATATAACACAGAATTTGACAACGATTTACGGCAATATTCTAAATTTACTGCTGTACTCATTGATCCACTGGAAGGGTTTGGCTCTAATAACCCTGAGAGGCTGCACAGCCTTCATTTATTAGAGCTGATATGCATTTTGTCCACTGATCACTCTGAAAAGGGCTTCTTACCTAACACAAGAAAGAGTAAAACATTTGAATGGATGAGTTCAAATGCATTTTGTCCACTGATCCCTTGATCCATTTTTTCTTCCAAACCTTAAAAAAAGAAAATAATAATAACTGCTCAATAAAAATATTTACAAGAAAGTTTTCCTTTTATTAATCCTATACAAGCCATCCATGAATGCTTCAACATATGTGTAGATAAAATGGAAAATGATATAAAGACAAATCCTAGTAAAACTAAAAACTGATAACTAGTTTACAGCTACTAGGTTGCATGTGGATTTTGTAAAGTGTTATAATGTCATCCAAACAGATTCGTAGATAAATCCACAAGTGCAGAAAGTGGTGGTACTAGTATAGAAATTTTTACATGTAGCACTATTCCATATATAAGGATCATCCTCTGT